GACAAATTAATTTCAAAAAAGGTGATGACGTCATCATGACGTCACTTCACACTTTATATACTATTATCAGTATCTACCTACCCACCAATTTGTAAGACTATCGGACTTACCCTTATAAGTGTTTGTAAAAATCGCATTTTTGATGACGTCATTGTGATGTCACACATTTTCCAAATTTTTTTGAGCAGATACCTTTTTCATAACAAACCTAATACAAAAAGAATTTTGAATTTAGCATGTTGGGTTAGCGAGATATGGTGATAATCTTCAAAACTTCAAAATTCGTTATAAAATCGCACGATGACGTCATGATGACGTCACCTTAATTTTTTACCTGTAACACATCCCATTCTACCTACATACCGAGTTTGATCATGATAAAAAGGAATAAATAAATATATAGCAACATTTTTTCTTCGAATGTTGAGCGTGATACGCGCACGACAAGGAAGGGGCACGTGGGGGTGGCCCTCTTTGTTGTGCCAGTACTCCTCTGGTCAGAACAAAATTTTCCTTGCATGAAAAAAAATAACCAAGAATCTTTAGTGTCACACCTCTATCCAAGCAGTCCTCTTTTCGAATCGTTTTATTTGTTTGTTGAAAATTCTCAGATAAATGTTCATTCAGTCTGGGGGTTTCTTTCAACCAATACTCTAACAGTTTATTTGGGTGGAGAGTGTTATCAAGAGAAATATCAACACCCGGCAAAGTAAATCAAATATAGTCAGAGAGTCCGTTTATCTTTTTGACATCCGCCAACAACAAGCAGATGGCCTGGTTTTCTGTTTACTTTCCTTTCTTTTAACAGGAAATACGATGAACTAGATTCTAGTTATAGTGCATGCATGTACATGTATACATGTACATTGTACATGAGGAAAGGGTTGTACTTAGAAATTGAGTCGCATTTCTATGATTTAACCAAGCTGATATTTTTAAGCTCTGGCAGGAGTTGATGTCACTTGATGGTCGGTCGGGCGGTCTATCTGTCTGTCTGTCCCCGGAAAATGACCAAACGTATGGCCATACGGTGCTCCTTATGTGACATAGGCGTCGCATTTTTCAGACAACGATCATTTTGATCGGTTTTATGCAAGACTTTCATGCAAGACTTAATTCTTGCAACATTGCCGGAGCTTATTATTGTGCACTCGCATTTTTTTTATCGTCCCATATAAAATAGGCTCTGTTGCCCACACGTTCGAATCCCAGCCAGGCCCGGTCAATGTTGTCTCTCATTGCGCGTATGTGCTCCATCAGTTCAGTGGATGGAGAGAACAGCATTGACCGGGAGATCGGGGGAGTGGCAAGGGCGGATCCCTGCAGAACACAATTGGGGGGGGGGGAGCAAAAAGAATTTTGGCCCGCTTCAGGGCCCCGATTTTTTTTTTTTTTTTGCATTCTAGATGCTCTGTGGTACAATTTCTGACCACTTTAACCATTTTTTTGAGGAAAAGTTGGTGGTGTATGCAGTGCCTGCCTTTATTGCGACGTCACTTAAAAAAAAAATGAGTTCGTTTTTGTGTGTGTGTTTTTTTGGAGGGGGTGGCCCCCGTTGCCCCCCCCCCCCGGATCCGCCCTTGGGGAGTCTGTGGGTGACCGTGGGAGGGTAAGGTTATGTCCCAATTACCATTTTGGCCGGGATTGTAGGCCCGTGCCACTGACTCCCATGGGTTTGTAACTTTGTTGTACCTCTATGTACCCTGGGCCATCACATACTGCACGCAATCACGATGTGTACGTGTGCCCGGCCATGCACCCAGGCGATTCGGCCTTGGGTCTCCTGCATTTTGTCCTTCTGTACGCACCCCGTGAACACACGAGGTCACTCCGCAAAAACGAGGCTTGAATCAAAATTCACGAACGCACTCACATGGAATAAAATCATATTGTTATTTCTTCCCCACTTGAAATTGTTTTTATATATGCAGGTATATATATGCCGTTTATTGAATTCACATCCATTACAATAACTTTAGGGGTCAAACATTTTCTGTCCCGTGACGTGTTCAGTTTGATTTATGCCAGACGAAGAATTTAATCGTACAACCAGAGTTGGTCAATTAACGTATACATTATGTCGACATTATACCAGTTTTATTACAGAATATTTGAATGTGATAATTCGTGCATGTTTCTCGATAAAGTTTGCATCACTGATCGAGACGGGACAAAAACATAACTGTACATAATAAAATATCCATGGAGATAATAAATACATAAATACATAAATACAATCAAAGAAATCATCATCGTGCATCCTTTGCATTTTGAAAGCGACGACTGCACTGAAGACTACTCATTCTTTTGGCGGGAACTGCTGCATAACGACCCGTATCCGGCCGCCGGTCGTTGTCATGACGGCAGGACAAAAGACGTGGGGGTGTGTCGGGGGCGCGTATTATAATGTTTGTGGACTATGCACAGAATATCAATATTCGTACACATGTGTGCATACAGTACATACAACCAGCTAGTGTCTAGGCCTACTACATGCAGTGTTTATAAACACGCTGCATCCATTTATAAAATATGCACAAGTTATCATAAGACGAAGTGACAACTTCCCAAGCGTTTTTGCGTGATAACGGAGTGCCGTCAAAATTGAAACTGGCGTACGTGTTACTTGCGCCTTCCCCGTGCTATTTGCAACGCGAAAATAGATTCTTGTTCTAGATGCCATATGATTTTTCTAGCATTACAGAAGTTATTCACTTTCACTTAATGAGCCATATCTATCGTTTTCGACCGAAAAATATCAGCCCATGTCTATACATGTAGTTATGTTTATAAAGCTTTACTCTAACTGTTATTGAATTGAAATGAAAAACAAACATTAAATTTATGAAAGCGAGGTACAAAAGTTATGAAATTGCGAATAGAACGAAAGCAATGACATAAAGTCAATTACAAATTGATACCAGTCTTTTCTGTGGTTAAACATACCCTTATGTTTTAAGCCACATTAAAAAAAAACCAGATACCACCCACTCGAATTCCGATATACGGCAGATAGGTTTATCGGATTGTGCCTTCGATATGGCATTTGGAACATGGCATTCGGTACACAGTCAGAAAATGTCATGAGAAATAAAAAGACATTTGATTATAGACCATTATCATGTTGTGGCCATCATGATGTTTCCCCATGCAAATACCAAAGCGAGGCCGGAAGGAAACATATAGTCTGGTTCCTCTTTGCACAAAAAATTATCATTCAGTACTGTTATATATTGGATACAGGGAACATGACTGCAATGGTGGCAGCATGATAAAGGTCTAGACTGTAGGGCCATCGCAGATTTGTCCTTTGAAAAGTATAGGTAGAATAACAAGCAAAGGCAGCCATTTTCAAAATTTGAAATTGCTTGTTATTATACATATATTGTTTTCAAAGGACAAATCAGCGATGGCCCTATAGCCAACTTCTTTCTCATGACATACTCTGACGGTCACCAAATGCCATGTTTGTATCATCAAAGGCACAATTCCCCCAAACATTTCCCCTATTTGTCCCATAAGCCCATTAAGGCACTATACGAAGGAGTACATACCATGATCCATGTTTTGTGCATGAACAATAAAACATTTCATGTACGCGGTCAATGTACTAGGTCCGGGGTCAAGATAAGCCCAACTGAAAATCGGAAGTGGTGACGATAAAATTGTCTGGAAATGTTTGTCTAGTGATACGCTGTATCAGATGCACACATACTTAATCTTGAGTAAATAAAGAATCAGACGGCATTATTATATACACGGTCTGTTCAATCATGAAAATTAGACTTAAAAAGATAACGGGAGACAGACTACTCTTTTCTTTTCTTTTTTAACTTAACGTTGTATTTCTGATGAAAGACATCCGTGTGCTATTGCTAACGGTTGTGAATCGACACAATTTCCTGTGTTTAGCAAACAATTACTTGTTTGTGCAATGATTAAAATAATGCATTTAATTTTATTTTTAAAAAAAAATTCAATATTGTGCCATATCTTATATTATGTTAGTTGAATGAAAATCAAACAAACTAACGCGTAGCTAGCAGTGAACTAAGAAAAAGTTATTATTTTTGACCTTCATCGTTATAAAAATATTCACACATTTTTACTGTGTAATATGTTGTTTACAGCATTTGTGCAGATGATTCGGGCTAATAATACGGATTTGAATATTAAACATGCAGAGACTAGGCGTTTAGTTGCCAATGTAGTAGGCCCGCATAGTCAAAACATTATCGAACGTAGACACCAATGTAAACAAATGCACATGGCGCGCACCGCTTTGTTTACATCTTAGCCTAGACTGCTTCTCAAGTCGCGATACATTTTGTGATCAAAATCAAGGGGACCAAATAAAAAAAAGTGGCCCGCCCCACGTGGTTATCATCATGACTATCGGTTTAAAAAAAAATCTCAAAATAATAATTATCTATTTGATCCAATCAGATCGACATTCCAATCCAACTCGATCGTTTTCTGACACTAACGAGTCGTTATTTTACTGTTCTTTCAGACTTCTATATAATTAGTCTATTTTCCGAGTTCAACTGAAGGTCGATCGACTAGTATTATAATTTAATGCACACCAAGCGGGCTGGCGATGTTCCCGTTATTTTCCATCATGCATAACGTGGCTGAAAGCATGAATTAGATTTGACCTTTCGCCCGACCTGAAAGAATTTGGACTACAGAATTGTAGCCGGGTCAAATCGCTGATAGGGTTTCAAACAATGAAATCGTGTTATTTTCTCAAATAACAATTACATTGTGAAATAATGCAGGGTGTGAGAAAAAGAAAGCTTGAATGACATTCATTGACGCGAAATTGTATGTTTTATGAGTAAATGGTGAGCAATTCTCCTTAATTTTGAATAAGGCTTAACCCTTCAATAAAATGGAATCGTCATTGGAAGAAGGCCAAGAAATGGAACATGAATAATGCATGACTTTGTGTTTAGTTTTTTTTCCTGCTATGCAACGTGCACGTGAAAGCTGGCCCTACGATTATGTACACAATACACACGTACCCGACGTACGTACGTATATCAACACGCGAAAAGTACCGGCCGGCTAGTTATTGCGCGGTCACCGGTAGTATCTGTGTACCACGATACTGATTTCGATTTCGATTTCTTCACGAACCGAAGTACGATTTATTCCTTGTTTACGGAGCAGATTTCAACCTGAAAATGTCGTCCGAAAAAGAAAAGGCTCTTCAGACCGTAAGTATTATAAACGATCTTGCATTTCCACTGTTGCATCCTATTGAATGAAAACAAAGTTGTGGTTTTTTTTTCTGCCTGGCGATTTGTAGCTCATCTCTCGCGCCTTTATTTTCGCGCGGTTGTAAAATGCATTTTCTTGAATGGAAAGGGTGTGTACGTGGTGGATGTAAGTTGTGACCATTGAAACGTGCATGCATGGCGATTGGTTTTGTTTTATCATGGAGCTCAAAGAGAGCATTTTGAATGAAAAGGAAACCAAGTTAATAAACAATCTTACCTACAGGTAGAGACAATAAAATAAGAATGCAGATGTTTTGGAAAAAGACAAGAAACAACGAGTTCAGCTTATCAGATCAGGGAAAAAAATTTGTGTACGTGGTGTTGTACTTAGTTGTAGCCCAGTTCTTTTGTGTCTCGCCACGTGGCAAATGTGGAATTTCCTGCTTCGCAAAATGCGCCATCTTTGGCCAAGAAAATTGAATCAGTCTGTGTATAAGTTGGTACAGTATGGGGACTAAAAATTGTGTTTATCATGTTTGTTGTGAAAACGTCAGCGGCCCTGGCGATTGCCTTGCTTTTTATGACAGTGACACAAATGATCGCTCGATGATCGCCGCATCGGCATGATCGTACCTCGTGTAGGCCAAACGTAAGGCCTGCCATGACGGAGCATTCATGTTGCAACCATGCCGACTACCATCAGATGCACAGACTATTAATTATTATTAGTCTGGACCATTCCTCTGTTCGAATTAATGTAAACATTTCCACAAGCAAAACTAGTCTTGCTTTTGTAAAATAAATTAAAACTAACATGACTAAAGATTGAGCTTGAAGTTGAACACGTTGAAGCAATTTTGTATTTGAAAAACTTGCATTTCTTACAACTGTTCAGTGGCCCTTTGCCTTTCTGTACAAATACTATCATGACTATAGCATTTTATTTGATGACAGTTTTAAAACCAATTCCAGACACATGTAGAAGACATTTTCATCTTTTGTTTTTACTAGGCCCCCCCTACATCCAAACTTGGGCCTGCTCCATCTTGTCCAGTAGAGTAGTGCAGTTTTGCTTAGTTTTGTGTGAAACATTTGAGTGTTTTAGTTTTTACCATGCCCATAGAGGTAGGCCTCCATGATTTTTACTCAGTTAGGCCTCATTTATTTCTCTTTCACGTAATCAACTTGATGGACTCACCTACGCCATTTGCATTATCATGATCAGTACAGAAAATAAAATAAAAAAAACTGATTTGAAAATGAAATTGAATGGCTATGTTCAACATGTTGAACCCATTAAAAGTAGTATCTGTATGATCATGATCGAGGTCCTAAATTACATTCGCAGATCTTGGCCTAATATAATTTCAAAAAGCTGAAAAGCAGTATAAAAAAAGACATCACAGCCTACCCTGCTTGAACCATTAGCGACCATATGGTTTGGTGTCCGAATTGAGATAGCCCAGTGCATTTATTTAAAGAAATAAATATACATGGCCCATGGGTTATGAGTGAATGGGCATTCTCTGTGGAGCGTGATGGTCGCGGACACTGAAGAGGGCATTGACCAATAGGGAGAAGCATGTTGACCCTGTGGCCTGGCCAGACACGAGTTGGCCTTGTGGCTCCTACACGCACAGTGTAGTGCCTGATCTATGGACTTGCTTGGATAGTGGTCAGGCCTTGGACACTCTGAAATGAAATAATGATAATAAAAAAAAAATAATATTGTATAAGGCTAAGTAAAAAAAACAACAGTTGATCGTCCACGCCCGCATCCTTGTTTGAAGCCCCATCCTATATTTTTTTTAGTTACTCACCTCAAAATGCGGCATTTTTCTTGTTTTTCACTTTATAATAAAATACACTGAAGTTGGCTGCCATTTTCAATTTAAATACTTAGTGGCCGTCTTGGAAAAAAAAATTAAATATAAAAAGGCCCTCCTCCTCCTCTTTTGGAATAAACCCGGATGATCAACTTGTTTTTGTTTTTTTACTTGGCCTAATGTGCGCAGCTGGTTTCCAGAGACAAATTATGCTGGGATCAGAATAAAGTCATAACTTTGATCAAATTGAACTGGACAAAAAAATGTATTGAACAGAATTTTAATGAACTGATGTGTAGTAGTACATGTACATGTATCCCTTTTTGTGTTTAATTCTTCCTTGTCAATATAATGAGGGACACTTTACAAATTTGAAGGGTGACTAGTCCAATATCTTGACTTCACATGTACCTTTGTATATCTGTCATGTTTTGGTCACTCCCTATCGGATGCTAGTTATGTAAGCATTGCCTGTACCAGGAAACATTCCACTTAGGCGAGAACAGCTGGTTGTCATTCAAAGGCTGATAAGAATTTGAGTCTGAAAAAAACCCAACATTATTGAGCACGTAGTTTTAAATTTATTGAATGACATTCTTTTCTGACAAAATGATAGTGTTGTGTCAAATGTCAACTTTCAACCAGCATTATGAGAACATAAACAATTCTTTTGTGGAGTTCACATACTTGCGGTTAGTGCTTTTAACCCAGGGGCGCTTGTTGTAGGTGTGTCTTGGAAAGACTGTTTTCAAATGCCCAAGTCTCTTACATGTAATTCTTAGGGATTACGGGCCAAGAAAGTATTCTTTCTCCGGTCGCTGTACCCTTCAACAAGTGCCCATGTGGTTTCTGATAAATCATGACGAAAGCTCTTGCCAAGATATATTCAGGCATACGTGATAACCTTTGGGGGAAAAGGAGAGCAATCAAGGTACCCTGGGTGTTGGGACAAAGTGAAATCTGATACGTCAGTACGTCACGGTTGATGGTCTTACCATTCAGGCAAAATTGAGGAAAACTTGCCAAGAATGGAATCATAAAGCTTTTGTAATACAAAACCTCATGTAAAATATGAAACCAGCTTTCTTGCCAATTTAGGGGAAAGGTTTTTGATGTTGCAAAACTCCGCGCACTCATCTTTACTGTTTTAACTAGTCTGAAAGCTGATGGTTCGTTGACAAAAATTAAATTGGGTTCAATTTTTATAAAGATTTCTGACTGCGCATTAAAAATCCCTGTGTGCCATGCCAAATGGTTTATCATCATGGGTAACCACTGTGTTTAGTCAACAATAACAAAAAGACAGCAGTCGACCATTGTACTGACTGTAGTCCGGACCCTAATTAGCATCTGGGTGGGCAAAAATTGCTCAAGCGTGAGTGATATAAAGGCATGTGGTTGGATGCGTGGGTGCCATTGCACAATGGTTAACAATTAAGGCAATGACTGGACCACTGCCGATGTGGTAAAAATTCCTTAAGTGTAAAAATTGGTCGTTTTGTGGGAGAAAGTCTTCATGCTCCATTTGCATCCATGCATTTTACATGTACATATTCTTGTAGTTACCGACTAAGTGTAAGGGAATTTGTCCAAGTCATGTGACCTTAATTTGGTTTGTGCTCTAATCTTTGCTAATGCTATTTTTTTCATTTTTTGGATGCCACTGGTTTGCACTTAACATGTACATTAATAAAAGCCTGTACAAACCTTAGTGCTGTGTGTTCATTCCATTCGTAACCATTCGATGTGTTTGATTTATATTTTAACAAAGTTGGTAAATACGCATTTTATGAACAGTTACATGTTGGAAATATTTTACCTTATATATAATTTTGAGTTTTGAACCAGAAGGCCAATTAAAAAAACAAAAACAAGAAATCTTTCTTAGTGGAAAAAAAAGAAATAAAAAGCATGATATTTTCGCTCACATTCCATCAGTACCTCATTAGAAACAGCATTGCAATGACCTTCTGTCTTGCACCGGCCTCTATTTTGGCATTTTGCGGAGCATTGTGGGATTGCTTCTGCCACGTTACACGACAGAAACAAGTTTTCATTCACCGAACTGATCTGCGCGCAAACGATATGAGCACGCAGACCTTTCTCCACAAGATAGTTTGCGTCTGTCTGGGTTGTCGGCGACTGGATGAAACGTTTCCATATGTCTGCGTTGTAGTTTGGGTCTTCTTTGCGTTGCTGTCTGTGTTTTTTGCGTCGATATGAAAACTAGGCTTCAGACTCCTCTGGTAGGTGACATACCAAGCATGCCATCACGGTTTAAGCCAGTCACAACACACCCTCCGTGAACCCTAACCCAGTATGAGCCAACCACGTATGCACTTGTCTGTGATTAATGATCATTTTTATTACATTTTTCACGGGAATCATATTTGGCGCGTAGCACATGCTTCTGTTTTCGAGTTTGTCCCTGATTAATTTATGGGCGTTTTGATTGATGAGGTGCATTCTTTACTGAAACAGCTCAGGATTACTTTAGTAAATCTTGCCCCCTTGCTAAGATCCTTCTGTCTAGCACTGCTGGAGTTTAGTCAAGTCCGATACTGTAATTCGATCTGTGACTGCGGTGTGACATTTTTCTCACAGTCGAAACACTGCCTGCGTAGTCAACATTTGCGTCAGAGAAGTTGGACGCGGTTCAAAAATTGTTAATATTTGACAGGGAGAAAGGGATCCATAGAAAGTTATCATGATTTGTTTTCCTCTCTCTCTCTCTCTACTGTAGACTTGTTTGGCCACAAAGTGTAAAATTTTTCCCCGAATTCGTGAGCTCTGATTGAGGATGTGGTGCAGGTATTAATGGATACAATTTAGTATGTTATAATCGCAGTAAAATATGAAGATTACATCAAAGGACATGAATAGAAGGATGATGGACCCAAGAGCAAATTTTGTCTAGAGGCATAATGAAATCTACATCCAAGTAAATCATCGTCAGCTTCTCTTTGATAAAATGTGCAAGATTTCTTCAGGACACGTTCATTGCTTTTTTTTTCTCGGCTCAATGAACGGGAGTTTTTAATGTTAATGTTCCTTTTAATGAGATTGGCTGAACTGAACTTAAGAAATGGAATATACTTGGGCTTTTGTTAAATTGTTGTTGAATTTGCGTGCCGGATATAATAAAAAATATTCAGTCATGACAAGTACAAT